TAATTCTAAATTGAGTTTCTCTTTAATTTAATTTTTGTGCTGAAATCGGGTCAAAAGTGAAAGTTTGGTTTCTTAACTCTGATGTTGTCAAAAAAAAGTTACTTATTAATTTTTTTTACCGTCGAGAGTTGCTATAACAATATTCGAGGAAATTTGTAAATATTTTTTCTATATATATAAATATGAGTTGAAATAAAAATTCAGCCTATAGTAAAAGTTCTGCCATTAGCTCCCGGACGGATCTTATATAGAAATGCTAAAGAAAATCTGTTTCTGAATATTTTCTGTAAAAATTATTAAAAATGTGAAATCGGTTATTAGTAAGCATCAAGTTTTTGAGACATTATTTACTTTAAAATTTCGTCAATCTATGACTAGGTGAATTTTAATTCAAATATAATTCTTTATAAAAATTAGTTTAATATTAAGATACACGCGTGTTCAAATCGATCCGACTGACAGACAAACAAAAAGACCGACAGACAAAAAGACCAACAGACTAACAAACCGACATATATCGGAAAGTTTCTCTTTCACGTAATAAAGAATTTCCGATTGAAATTCGAAATGTGAAATTTGGTGCTATGACATAAACTTTCTTATTATAATGCAATACGGTCGGTAATTTTATAATTAACATTAATTTTTTTGATTCATTGCACATTTAAATAAAAAGTATAAAGTTAATTCGGAAATGTTGCAATTACGTCAAAATTTATTATTTGCTATAATTATGTCAGGGGTTCACTGTAAATTTTTGTCAGTTGCAATATTTTACATTTTCTGTTTATATTTTTTTATAATGGGAGTTTACTGCTTGTTTGTTTCGCATGTTCTCATTGTGATTGTCATTTTTCATTTTATTTCATTCGTTTTTATTTTTTTTTAAATATTTTATTTCACCGATTTTTTAATAAATTTTTTTTTTTAGTATACTAAAATAAATAAATATTTATATAATTTGAGTTTTACTTCTTATAAGTCGGTATATAAATCATTTGTTAAAGCATGTTTTTCGGATTTATATACAGTTTTTATGAAATTCTATAATTATTATAATAATTATAATTAATAATAATAATTAATCTAAAAAGAAATTTTTTGTTTTATTATAATGTGTATTGAAAATTAAATATTCTTTTGGATTATTTAAAAAAAAAAAAATTTTATTTTATATTTAAAAAGTTTATTTTGTATTTTTTTTATTTTATTTTTTTCTTGTCAAATAATAAAACTATAAAATTGGAAAATATAGTATAGTAGATTTAAAAGAAAAAATAAAAAATTTTTATTGTAAAATTCATAAATTGGTACAATAAAATTGTAAAAGAAAATAATTTAAAGGAAAATAAATTAGTAATTAGAGTTTTAAAAATTATTTAAAGAAAGGAAAAGAAAACTAAATTTAAAATTATAATTTTACTTAATTATATAATAATAATTATAAAATATCAAGCATAGAGAGTATATTTATAGAGTTCATAAGAAATAAAGCTAATTTATAATTTTTAATATATAGAATAATAATATAGAAAAAAGAGTATTTGAAAAAAGATATTAGAAAAGAAAATGTTGCAAAATGATTCATTTTTTTTAATTTTTTTATATTTAATAAAATTCTGTTTTAAGTAATAATATTTAAAAATAATATTTTATAAGTGTTTTATTAATAAAGTTTTATTAAAATATTAAAATAAATGTATTGTTTATTTGTGTTTTTAAAATAGCTTTTTGTTTTTTCTTTTAATTAAAATAAATAATGCTTTTTTTTTAATAATATTGTATAAAATATAATTATGTGGGGTATTAAAACACAAAAAAAAAAATTATTTTGAAATAAAATATTGAATAAAAATAATTGGAAAATAAACGACAAGGATCAACATAATGGGATTTAAGACTAATATTAATATTAGGTTTTAAAATTCTTTTCAATTTCGAATACTCGTATAATAAATTTTTAGGGAAAATACAATTTAAATAAATTATATTGAGTATAAAGCACGTATTTCTTGAAGGGATTCAATATTGCCAATATTAAAAATATTGAAATAAATTGAATTGTATTGGAAAGCTTTCAGTGCAGTAAAAGCTGAAAAAAAATCCTGTATATGAAGAAATAATTTATTGTTGTTGTATTCAATGGAATACAACACCATTCGAAATTTTTTCAGATCAACAACCGCAAGTTATTGTAGTAAATTTTATAAAATTATGAGATAATCTTATTTCAAACTATGAAATAAAATTTTCACAGAAAAATTTGAAAATTTATTTTTTTCTAATCTGCAAAAGAAACTACAAATTTTAAATAATAAAAATATAATTGAAAATTTAAATACGAATTTAGCTATAAAGTCTATATTAAGTTTTAAGCAAATTTTTTATTTCTTTTGAAAATTACACTAAGAATCGTGTTCACTTACAGAATTAAGCATAATACAGGAAAAATTTCAAGCATGTCACATATTAGCAAGTGTTATATAAGAGTATAACAGTTTTCTTTTTTCAACGAAGTTATTTGATATACATTAAACATTTAGCTTTGTAGTATATTTTAAAACAATATTACGAACAAAAATATAAACTTATATAAGATTTCCGGGTACATAAAAATAAAAATTAAATATATAAATTTAAATTATATGTGTGTAAGTGAAACAAAAATTTATATTTTAACAAAAAAAATGTGAAATTTTAGAAACAGTGTTGTAATTTCAGTCTATACTATCTATAATATTATAATGGTTAATATTACTACAATTATATTAATACTCGTAATACTACAATTCTATGAAAAATAAATTGTTAGAAAAAATTTGAAAAATATATAAATTTAAAGTGAATTTCTAATAACTACATATTATGAGGATATATTAAATCCGAATGTTAGTAAAGAATAAATTACTACACTATTAAAAATACTTGCAATATTTTTGAACGATACTTGATTACTTTATCAATGATTAATTCTCGCATGTTGTATTGTGTGGGCTATGGGTAATTTATCTTACAAAACTTTAAAGTTTACTACTATTTTATCTTTATTTTTACGAACTATTTATATGGTGAGCGCAGCACGACTTGTGTTTTATTAAACACAATTAATTCTATATTAGATCCTTTACTTAAAGAAAAAAATTTTTTTTCGAATGAAAGTAGTCATAGAAGTAAACTTATTGTAATTTTGAAGGTTTGGGTTTATCTGTTAAACTTATTGTAATACATTTAGCTTCCCTTTGATATTTACTTGAAGAAGTTATATTTTATTTCAGTCAAATTTTGGTAATATGCGCACAGTTCGAATATAACAACAAACAGATTTGTAAGAATTCTATACGCGAATAATAATTATTTAAACTATAAATCGCTTATTTCTTGCAACACTGATGCATCTTAAAATTTGTACATTTGGGAAAATTAAATTTTAAATTTTTGGAGTTTATATACTTTCTGCGATTATAGCCGTATTTTTATCAGTAAGACATAGTTTTAAAACCAGAGAATTAGCGTTTTCCGTAAAAAAATAAATGTTTGGTTCTATATAAATACCTCCGAAATCATATTTTTTGGGTTAGGCTGCTATTGATTGCAAAGGAGCGAATTTGGATTTCATATTGATTTTAGAGAAAATCTGGAAATTTTCGCTAAAAAAATCCAGCAAACTTAAAAAAATTTTGTATTTTGGCTAAGAAATCTGGCAGATCTTTCAAAAATCTCATTTCTTTTTACCCGCTTTTGACTCCTATAGGAGGAGCATAAGGCTAGTGTATGATATCATAGTCATGATATCATAAAATAGTCATGCCCCAGATTCATTGCGTTATAGATTTTTTAACCAGGTAGGTGACAAGCCTGCCGCAGTTTTTTTTATATCAAAAATCTAATAAATCAGATAAATTTGGCAATATGGGAACGATAGTTGTATTATTAGATTAAGTTTTTGAGCTTCTATAAAACTACATAATAAATGGAGCAGTTATGTATGACACGATCTAAATAAAATAATTATTAGCCACAAATAATTTTAAAAATATTCTAAATTTACAATTAATGCTATTTATGTACGTATATGAAAAGAACATTACAACACTGTTCTTTTAAAATAATACAAAATTTTTAAATTAAAAAAAAAAAATATATTTAAAATAAAATAAATAAAATAAATTTAATAATATGGTAATAAGTATATTGTGTACAAAACAAATAAAACCACTCAATACGAATGCAAATTAATTATTTTAAAATTTTATAAAAATTAAGAAAGAAAAAGAAATAAAATAAAGTAAAAATCTAAGGACGAAATGAAGGAAAGAAGAAAGAAATTGTTTTGTTTTTTCCTTAATCCGTAATAATTAAAGGAATTTTTAGTATATGGTGTAGATATAGACAAATAGAGAGAGTAAGAGAGTAGAAGAACATAGAAACATAAAGAGAAATAGAAAAGAATAACAGAGAAATATTAAAAAAGGAAGAAATAATAAATTTGTGTGTAAAAAATTAAAGGCTAGGTTAATGGAAAAAAAATTAAGAGTTTTCATTTTGGTTTTAGGCTTAAATGAATTAAAAAGTAAAAAAAAAATATTGATTTTTGGCATTTTGTTTTTTTTTTTTTAGGCTTTTTCATTTTTAAATTTTTGTAATTAAATTAAATTCTGTGCTTGTATATTTGTAACGCAATTTGTAACGCAATTTTTTTAAAGGTTTTTATGTTTTTAAAAAATAAATTTAGATTTTTATGTTTATTGTTTAAAAATAAAAAAAAAAATATTTAAAAATTTTAAAGTGTTTTTTTTTATATTATTAGTAAAAAAAAGTATGCATTTTTCTTTTCTTTTTTTTTTTTCGATTTTATGCATTTAAATATTTGGAAAAAAAAAAAATTTGTATTATTTTTCTTTATTTTATTTCAATTTAAAAGTGGACTTTTGTTTTTTTTTTTTACTTCGATTTTTATTTTATTTTAATTATTTATTGTATTGTCATTATTGTGGACTCACCGACGGTCGCAATCGCACACAGTGTTTTCCAAAAGCTGAAAATGGTCCCCATTTCTCTACAGGTGAATTACTCACATGAGATGCTTCCGAACTAGATGTATCCTGAGTTCGATATATTCCAATTGGTATTTCACATGTAGTTGAGCAAAGTTTTTGATATAATCTACCGTAAGTTCTAATCCACATGTCATCTTTTGTTATTCGCATCTAAATTTAAAAACAAACAAATATAAAAGAGAATTAATTTTTAATATTTAATTGTTTTAAAAATTCAAAATTTATGTTTTTCTTGTAGATTGTATATAAATCATAATTACATTTAAATATTAATATGCATTTTGAAAATAAAATATTTTACGTAATAATTTTGTATAATATTAAAGAAAAAAATATAATTACCGATGTTAAGAAACCACTACCAGGTGCTTGATCAATACCTAATAATAATCGAACAAATGTTATCACATAATCTTTAACAAAAGCCTGATATAATAATGTGTCAAGCATCGATGCACTAAATACAGCTCCAGCTGCAAATGGTAAACGAAACATGTACGATATATGAGATCCTCGTTCTTTTTCACGCTAAAAATTAAAAAAATTAGTTTTAATTAGATTATTATGGATTTTTTTTTTGTTTTAATATAAATTTTAATTTAAAAAATAAATTAAGCATATAAAAATGTTGAAAAATGTTTTAATAGTGAATTTAAAAAAAAAACTAATTGAATTCAAAATATTCGTCATTTCATTATGAACGTAAAATATTTTTTTTAAATAAAAATAATTAAAAAATATTTCCAATATATTTTGAGTGTTTATAAACAAGACGGAGCCGCATTTTCATTTTTAAGGAGTTTAAAAATGATAAGATTTAAGAGAAATAAAGATTTTATATAAAATCCATAAATTTTACTTATGAATTTTTCATAATGATTTCAGTAGTGTACTAATGATTATTGGTATTGTGTTCAAAAACTTGGACTCTAATTTTAATTCATACTTTATAATGTCGTGACTTAGGATGAAACAAGAAACCTTTGTTCGATTTTTTTTGACTATATGCACTCTAACAAGACGAAAAAGATTCTCAACGATTAAATTTTATAGAATCTCTTAAGCTCCATATAAATCAAAATATTTCAGTTTTCAAACTCAATTAAAGGACTTCGTGCTTGTCCTTTAAAGGCAAAAATTTATTTTGAAAACATTGTTTTCTAGAAATAGCAATATAAATATGCAAAATTTAAATTAAAAATAAGTAAAATTTATTTCATACAAATGTCAAATATTGTTACTTAAAAGATAACTTCTACAATTTAATCGAGATTCAAATTGGCATTTTAAATAATGCTATCGTTGTTAACACCAAATTTAGACTAATTCATTTGATAAAATCTAACAATATTTATATAAATTTCTATGTGGCTGCATGTTCTCACGATAATTGTAGAGTCTATCTCAGAAAGTTGAATAGAAGCGTTCTAGAATGTTTTCGACATGTGCGATGGTAAACACTATGAACAAAATTAGTGTCATATAATTAAAATGTAATTTCACACTTGATAAATATGTGATTTATTAATGCGATAACTTGTATTATAAGTATAAGTATATAAGTGTATATTAAGAGGAAAAATTAGATTATTTAACGAACAGTGCCTCATTAACGTTAATGAAAAGAAATCGGTCATTTCAACACTAATATTTTCATGTACACATATTATAAACTCTCTAGAAGAACGAATAGTTAATAATAGTAAAATAAAGTTGAAATAAATTATAAATAAACTTCCATTCAAAATTAAAATAAGGCCATTTCAATTTATATTTGAATTGATTGATGGCGGCCCTGATTTACTGAAGATAATCAATTGCTTCATTAAATATTTTCCTTATACAATTAATATTAAAATATATATAAGCTCATTTTTGCAATTTGTTTGTATAACAAATAATTTCATAAATTTTATAGAAATGGAAAAAAATGAGATGCAATTTAATCATATAATTTTAAATGGCGAAAAATAAATAAAAAAAATATTTACCTTTTCCATTTTACTTAAATGTAAAGCATATTTATCATGTGCTCTAAATTGCATGAATCTCATATTTGAACTTTGCGATAGTTCAGTTATACTTTTGATACTTGGAAAAAATCTATATTTAAAGAAAATAAGAAAGAAAAAAATGATATCATTAACCTAGACATATAAATTGATACTTTAATATATACACATAATTATATATAACATATGTGCTTATATATACATGTGTTGTTATATGTCTATACATATATATGCATATATGTATAACATTTTATAACAACATTTACTTTTCTTGATTATATCTCATTAATTTATTTGCTAAAAATTTATTTACTTAAACATAGTTTGAACAGCAACGATTGTATTACAATCAGACAATGAATCCTCTTCAGCTGAATTGGATAATTCTTTGTTAACAACTACAACGCTTTCAGCTAATGTTATACCAGCACGTAATAGATCATCAAGGCAATCAATTGATCCTAGCATCCAATAAACCTGCAGAATAAATTTGCAAAAAAAAATTTTTTTTTTCTTTTAATTTGATTATTAAAAAAGAAAAAAAAAGAAGATTATGTTCTTCATTCTGTCCATTTTTACATGCAATAAACTTAAATATGCATGACTGTCTGGGAATATAGGGCATACCGATTTGAAGTATTTACTTTTCTATTCAACATAATTAAACTAATTTATTAAAAATACAACATGATTATTCACAATTTAATTGCTGGCAACATGTTGGGTTTTCAGCACCAATACATTTCTCGAATGCTGTAGGCAAGCGTAAATAAACTAATTTTAGAGGTTAAAGAGATGCCTGTCTGATATATTAACTAAAGATTATTTAAAGATTACTCAAAGATCTTTCATAGAATTTGAAAATAGTATTTAAAGGATATTCTCATAATCTTATGCAACATTTTAACAATGAGGTCAATTTTATACCACTTTATTTGCAACGCTAAGAAAATTTACGTTTAAGATAAGTACACAAGTATGTGTTTTGATTAACGTCGAATTCTTAGTTGATTTGGCCATGTCTGTCCTTCTCTCAGTCCATCTGTTTACCCGATCGTCTTTCCTTCTATCCGCCATAATGATAGCTCAAAAATTCCTTGAACTAGACTAGCCAAATTTTTATTAATTAAAAAGGGTAATTACCAAAATTGCGCTCTTTAATTTTTGTCATATTTCGGAAATTGTAACGCGAACAGTAATAAAATGTACAAACTAATTATGTAATTCAAAACACGTAAAAATAAATGTACAAATAGATGTTCGAAGATTTCATGTATTGTTCATCCTAAATGTATGCAATTTTTGAAATATATTCGTATATTAATGAAATTAACTTTTATAATGTTGTAACTTCATAGATTATTTTTAAAAGCAATTTTTTCACTTGTTGAACATTACAAATCATTGGTTTGACCCTACTTTATTTTTTTTTGGAAAATTTACTTTTAAAATTTTGAATTTGTTGGTTTGTAAATGATTTAATTAGTAATTGATAATGAGTATAAATTCTCAAAAAAAAAAATTGTAAATAATTTGGTTTGTGCGTGCTATCAATTTTGATCTCATTTTGCCTTCATCAAAGTTATATTGGAATGCAAATTTGTAATAATAAAACTGGAAGTGAGATATTTTTATTGGAAAAAGAATAAATGGAATTTTATTCAATTTTCAGTCCATTAATATTAATGTAGAAATAAGAAAAGAATGATATTTCATCTATATTATTTTATTTTTCTTTTCTAAAAATATAAAGTAATGTACTTCTCTTTTTAGAATTACAGATTGTAAATTAAGATATTTTACTGCTATTAATGGTATTGAATGAAAGGTTAATAAACTTTAATAATAGAGTACATTTTGTTTTTTAGAAATGTTTTGATGTTTTTCTTATTCTTAAAATATCTTTGATCTTATTGTCATTTAAAAAATTCAATACAATGAACTTTAAATGTACTTAGCGTCATCAACCGCTGTTATTCACGTAAATCGTTCTTATTCATGTAAATTAATATTTTATGTATGTACAAATTTTAGTGGAGCATTATATGTTTGAAATATATGTACAAATATGACGAATTATAAAGCATTCTAAAGAAAATTTTAGAATTTTTTTCAAGTCACAGATGCTCTATTAATTTTATATTGTTTAATTTATTTAAAAATTTTGATTTGTATGAACATATGTAGGTCCTTTTATGTTAAATATTAATAGACTTTTTATCTCATAAATTGAATTATAGATATATTGTGAATATTATTTATCAATGTTTATGCGGTTATTTATTTCTCAATTCCATTCACAATAATAAATTTATATTTATATACCTCAATTATGAGAAATTGTAATGATTATTAATGATTTCATATTAATTTAGTCTTTCTTCTATGATAAATCTTGCCATATTTTGTAGTATTTTTTCCCTAAATCTTGTAACTACTTGAAAATAAATCTAAGGATACCGTATATATATAAGTATATTAGATACAAGACCCGCTCAAATGCTCTGATTTTTAGCTTTAATAAAATTTTTATAAATAAAATAAATTTGCTTTGATTTGCGGAAATTTTCTTTTACTATTATTTTGTAAACTTTCTTAACATTTGACCGCAAGTCAAAATTTTTCCACATTTGAAATGCATAAAATCATGCCCACTTAAATTTTAGAATTCTATTTCCAATAAATACTTGAATACTGTTATATTTGTATGCATATATACAATACAGGTATATATATAAATAATAATAATAAAAAATAATAAAAGTAAATAGATGTGAAAACATTAAAATTCAATTACAAGAATAAATCATTATTTTCTTGACTTTTTCTGGCTTTTATATTGAATTTTCCTTTATCAAAAAAAAAAACAAAGTGGAATAGAAAATTTTATAAAAGAAAAATTTTTTGTTTGTTTAATTTTTTTTTTTTGTGTGTCTAAATGGATTTCGAAATAATATCAAAAAATGAATGTAAATGATTTTTTTCTTATTTCTTTTAAATTCACTTTAAAAAAGAGAGAACATCTTTAAATTTTCTCCTTCACATATTTTTTATGTTATGTATAACAGTATAAGTATATCTTATGTATAAAAGGCTGACATTTTAAAATATTTTTGATATTTATATAAAATATATAAGGCACACATACACAATCATACACACCTATTATATTCACACTTTTTTTTTAACGTAAAATATTTTATAAATTTACTTACCAATGGAAAATATGAAATAGCGTCTAAAAATGCTACATCGGGTCTTCTCTCTAATAAAAGTATAATTGGATTTAATGAAGTCTTTGATCGAAAATGTGCGCGTAACGGTATTATAAAATTATAAATTCCATTTGAAGCATAATCAGCTGCTAATATAATTGTTTTATTTTGCCATTGATATTCTTTAGCATTTCTATAACTGCAATGTTCACAAACCTGTTAAGAAGTTATAAAATTGCAAAATATATATATTTAAAATATAAGAGTTAAAGATTTTTCGAATATTTGATAATATTCTGAATAAAATTTAATAAATTTATTAAAGATGAAAATGAAAGGAGAGGCATATAAAGAACGTGGGTCAAAAAACGAAATGCCCTATGCTCTTAAAAGCGAAAATAAATGGGAAAAAGTACGAGAATTGAAGATTATTAGGAAGTTTTAATTTATAGTTAATTTTCACTGTTGATTCAATAATTCGTCTGATGCTATGAATTTTTTGATTGTACAACAATATTATCGAATTTGATTACTTTTATTAGCTTAGGTTTCCATATTTTCTACTACAATGCCATAATTTTAATTGTATTTTAAGGTTAATTAATTCAATAAATATTATATAAGTTATTTTGTTATTTTTCCCCAATAAAAAATTTCGTTTTTAAATTAAATTAATTAATAACAAGATGACAAAGTACTTTTTTAAGTAGATTTTTATTCAAAAGCCATAGATAATCTGGTATTAATTAAAATTTCCGGACAATAAAAATAAGTAATTGCACACAAAATATAGGCGGTTAAATTTTTACGCATTCGTGAATTTTAAAAAAAAAATTGTTTTATCAAAATGAAAAAATTTACAAAATAATTAAGAAATTTTCGTGATTTTTTTTAAAATTTAAAATTTTAGAACAATTAATTATTTGGTAAAAAATCTTGGTCTAAAATATATGCTTAATGCACAGTCAAGAGCTCAAATTTCGCCATCATACGAAAAAATTTGTTATATAAAAATTTTATTTATACCGTCATATTTAGTTTTGGTTGTAAAACGCTGCAAATAACAGTTTTTATTATTTATCAAATTTCTTATTAATCAACCAATCTTATAATAATTGCCAGGAATTCTATGTAATTTTATTCATTTTTACGATGGAAAGCCACACAAGAATTGAGAAGTAAAGTGTAATTTCTTAGAATTTGTTCTTTTTTTAAAAAAAATTAATAAAACATAAAAATTGGGGGGAAGGCGGGTTTAAAATAATTTAAAAGATTGTTTTGCTAACATAAAATTTTATCTTTTATTTTAATAAAATAACGAAGGAATAAAAATTTTGAAAATTTTATTATACTTCAACAAATTTTTAGTATAATTCTTTTTCCACTCCATAATGAAAATGTAAAATTATTGAACGGGATTGTAAATCAAATAATTTTGAAGGAAAGATAGGTTAAATTTCTCAGGAATTCGTGTAACATTTATTATAAAACTTTTTTTTCAGAAGAAAAATGCTAAATTTGAAGGGGTATTAAAAAAAGACATGATGTTATAATTTCGTGTAATGTTATATAATAAATAATTAATTTGAGAAAATTTAATTTTATTAAAATATATCAAAGATAATTTATGAGGAGTGAAACTTTAGTATTTGTATTTATTAATCTGATAATGTCCAGCTACAGATTGGAATAAGTTGGAACAAATTGAAATGAAATTCTGAGCAAGAGTGAATCAAAAATTTCTTAACATATTTTATGAATATTTAAAATATTAAATTGTGTAATTTAATAAAATTTAGAAATAAAGATAATTTGATTTTGATTTAATATTGACTATTTTATAGCGCTAATGAACTGTACAATAATGCTGCCGCTTTTTATATTTACCCTCGCAAATAACTATTTGTGGTTCTTCGGAACCTGTAGTTTCTTCTTAAAGTATATTTAATATTTGTGCCTTTTTAATTGATTTTGATTTTAATAGAGACTTAATAGAGATTTTAATATTTGGAAGAGACACCATCAAATTTTTCAGTTATTCTTAGTGTAACTTGTTTAGTATTTAGTATTTGTAATAGTAGTTTTATATTTAACATAAATTTTAATGATTTTTTATTTTAAATTTTGGTTAAATTGTTATTCTAAAAATCTGCAATGATTTTCCCGGTAGATTATATCCCGGTATATGTGTGAGTTATTACCAGTGTTGGGATTTTTGGCCGATTAAATTGTGCTAGATTATGCAAAATATTGCCATTTTATGTCAAATTTCAAAAAACATACGGTAATTTGAAGGAGTATAAATAAAAATACAAACAGTTGACAACCTATAGCCTTGTATTTAACGTACAAGCTATAAATAAGTAAAAAAACGAAGCCTTGCTTTTATTTATTCTTAATATTTAAAGTAAGAAATGAACTTAATAATAATGAACTTACTTGTGCTAATTGTAGACAACATAATGGTTTCTTTTCTTTTAATAAATAACATAATGTTGGGCTAACACCAATAAATGGGGAAACGGGTGGAAATCCTTTGACAATTCTGTAAAAAAATAAATAAGTAAATTGAATTATTAAGAAATTTGAAAAAAAAAAATTAAGTCTTTTTTTTTAGCGATAATTTATTTAGCGTTACTACTTTAAAGAATTAATAAAAAAATATCCTACGTAAAATATAAAACTTTAACGTTCACTATACAACAATTATAAAACATTGTAACAGAAACAAATCCCATTACTGGAATTAACAAAACCATTTTTTTTAAAATAATATTGCATTTAGAAAATTTAAAAAAAAAATTAAACTAAAAAATAAACTCAAAAGCATTTAACCAACATTTATTGACTAGGCTATAATTTCAAAAACCTTTCATCTATTTATAAAAATACAAAAACAAAAAAATTCAACAATTTAAAATTTAATACACAGTGGATGTTAGTATATGTAAGTAAATGTACTAGGGGTACGATCATACGCTGTAATTTGCAGTATGTGTCCATTTCATTTCGGAGAATAAGATTCGTTTCGTAACGCATACTATTCATAATTGATCTTCTATATTTCAAATTAAAGAATATTTTTTGAATGACCATTAGAATATTTTAATAGTTAGCGCAGATTATAAGTTTCATGCAGTTCGAAACATTCCATTTCAGTTGGAGTTCAGAGAAAATTGGGCAATCTACAATTTATACTCGTATTATTAAGATTCTTTTTTATACGTTGCGTTATAATCATTTTACATACCCTATTATTAAAAATACTGAATAATTTGATATAAAGGAAAGCTTTCGGATGTGAAAAGATGCATAAGGTTTTACTCCAAAAAAATATAATTATAGGGAAACGTTAAAATTTTATAAAATTTAAAAATTTTAATAGTAGCAGATATGTTCAACTTTTTGAGGGCTAAGGACCAGAACAAAAATCTGTTCGGAGTACTTCAAAATTGGTATGCATGTCTCGAAAATTCGACAATTCAGTGAATTTAATAGACACTCAAACTATCGTGGAGATTAATTCCAAAAATGTATACAAGTATTTTAGAAAATGTGTTAAAAATGTTTCAGAGACAGATTTTCCAAAGGTCATTTAACTAACTCTTTAGTAAAGCACGGGTTTTAAGGAAATCAAAAATGTGATCGCTAATTCACCGATTAAATTTATTTTAAACGAACGATTAACCCGATATTCAGACCCGTTGCTTTTTTTTTTAAATCACCGAATTCCGCCTGAAGAAAGTTGGTTGCAAATGCCTGATTTAGAGAATTGGAAGGGAAGATTTTGTTTAAAAAATGAAAATATTTAATTATAATTAATGCGATTTTAATATTAAAACCTTTATTATACGGCTGTATACAAGATAATGTACAAGTATATTGGTTGGAAATATGCTAAAAAGGACCTTTTAATTCAATAAAGGCAACAAACATCAAAAGCTTTTAACTTGAAAATTGTTTTTTGAAAATTTAATATGTATAAATAAAATGTTTTATTTTACAAAATATATACACACACACATATATAAATATACATTTATAATAAAATATAAGCTATACCTTTTTTGTTTTTGTTTTACCTTAAAATTTATTTTAAAAATTCATAATTTTGATGAGTTCAAATTTACAAATGTGAGAAAATTATGGTTGGGAGTAAAAGAGTTTTTTTTAATTTTTTGGTTGTTTTTGTAAGTGGTCATCATAAAGGAGATTTTAATTTTCCACTAGTATTTTTATTTATTCTAGTTGGAAAATTCTTTTAATATAATTATTATATTTAAGGATATCTCCGATTAAAAATATTTTTTAGAAAATGTTCAATTAGAAACACCTATTGTAGTCTCTAGGTAGCTCTATACGTACCTAGATAAACATCCTAAAAATTTTTATTGGTTCAGATTTATTTTTAAATTTTGATAAATTCAACAAAAGTTTTAATACCAGTATAGACAGGTTCTGTTCGTATAGTTTTTGAATGTTATAAAATCTAGAAAGAAACTATATTTACTCTTGGTAAGATTTACTCTTGGTTTAATTAGTCTATTAGGAATTTAGGTTTAAATTATGCTTTTATGATGATGAAGAACGCACCAAAACATGTTAAAATTTTAGAACACGAATTTCATGGGGAACACTCTGTCAATTGCTAAATTATTTTCATTTGAAATTACATACACATTCGGAAACTTTGAACCATTCGAAACTTTGATTTATAAAAAAATTAGTTATTAAAAGTTGTATTCAAATCAAAATTATAACCCCTAAAATATATCCTTATAAAAATTGATGGAATCAATAGGGAATTATAATAAATTTTACATTTAAAATTTTGTAAAAATTTAAATTTAAATTATACTGCGAAAATTAAATAGGGGCACTATTTTAAAGTAGTGAAAATGAGGGTTTGAAAAAATATCGAAGAGGAAAATTTTTCTCTAAAATTATAATAAAATTAAAGGATCAAATTTATTTCGGTCTTAAGTATTTTTAAAAATAATTTTTGATGTTCTGCAATTTATACATTCGGGTGTAGAGGGTATTTTTATAAATAAATTCCAAATTCACACATGCTACAAGATGCTTGTATTATTCAATTAAATAGTTTAAGAGATAGATCTAATTTTCATAAATTTTATATTTGTCATTTTAATATTAAGAATTCGGAAAATTGATTTAAATTATTGAGTTCAGTCCCATTTTCTATTTTTTAAAGATCAAATGGTAGATTTTATAATCAAGTTTAAAATAGAAATTTGTTGAATAACTTACCATTTGTGATGAATAAGTTTCTATGAAAAAATTTAAAATTCACAAACATTTTGAAGTAGACCTTAAAGGCTGAGTATTATAGGATATATTTTAAAAAATATGGTATATTGCAGGCTTATAGTCGTTTTTTTTCTTCTGAAATTTCGGCATTTTTTAACATTTTATATGTGAATATTTTATATGTAAATATGTAAATATTTATGAAAATTTATATTAAATTAATCGAAAAATATTTCTTTTCGAAATTCCAATAATTGGTATTCAGATAATTGTAGTTACATAATGTGTTGATGTATTTGTATAATTTAGCAATATTGGCAAAAATATGCGGCGATTATTGTATATATATTGTATATGTGTTACAATGAATCACCGAAATATGAACTTAAAAAGAATATTATTGTTTTAATATAAGTGCTTTGTATATAATACAAAAGGTAAGTGGTTTAATACGAAATTAACAACTAATTATAAGCTTAAAAATAATTTTTGTTATAATACTCTCTACAGAGAAACCAATAATATAACAATAAAGTTTATCTACATTTGTGCGAATCTTTCCAATATTTTTTATTAAATATGAAAAATTTCCATTTATTTTTTCGTTCCAAATACAAAAAAATTTTTAAAAGAATTATTAATCAAACTAATTTGAGTTAATCTTATACAAAATCCTAATCAGTGATGTAGTAAAATAAAAAGCGATATAATTTTTTAAAAGCTTAAGAAGAAGCTTAAAAATTATATTCCCAGTATAACGCTTTTCAATTAACTACACATTTAATATTTAATGGTATGTCCTTTTGAAGAGAAAGCCTGCAAATTATATATTGAAGTGCTAATGGAAATCATGCGATTAACATGTACACATGTAAATAAAATTAAAAAAAAAAAATTGTCAACTAAAATTGAGGATAACATAAACTTTCAATAAATGTACTGGAAATGTCATTCAACAAAATAAAAGAAAAAAAAATGGACCAAAAAAAGCATTTTGAAAAAAAAATTAAATGAATTCAAATCTTCGCAATTAATTAAATGAAGACCTAGAATTTCAAATAATTTCAACGAAAAAATAGCGAATACTTTGCTTTAAGACTAGTAAAAGTTCAATAACAACAATAAAAAGATTTTCTTTCGTCCTTTTCGTAGTAACTTTTACCATTAATATTTTAATTAGAATAATGCCTTTGTAATTTTATTAAAAATAAAAAATAAAAAAATAAAATGAAAACAAGAGGAAAATACAATTATTAACTTTTTGCTTGTGAAAAGCGCACGTTTGTCGTATGTGTGTTTTTATTTTTTTTTTTTACATTTAAATTTCGTTTCATATTGTAAAAATGCAATTTGTGTTTTCAACTCAACATTTAATTACAATTATTACTGGCAATATTATAAACTGAATAATAATAATAGAAAAAAATGCCTTTTAACAATTTAAATTAACAATTAATTTATTTGAATTAACAATTAAATTGTTGAGCTCTGATAATCTTTATTAGTATATTAATTAAAAGCGTTGCTTTAAAATGCATCAACATTTTCAATAACAATAACAATAAAATAAGTTAATGGAATTTTTTTTTTTTTTGTTTAACACCAATATTAAAAAATTTTAAATAAAAAATTGAACGACTTTTGTTTTTTTTTTTTAAAATATTCAATAAATTTTTTTCATAAAGGTTTTTTTTTTACTTCGCAAAATTTTGATTTAATTTTTTTGATATTGAATGTAATAATATTATTAATTAAAACGGCAATAACTTACCGGGAACAATCTGCATGCCATGCAGGGGATTCACATTTACTATTACATTCAATTGGTTTGTAGCATTCACTATTACAACTATTTGGTGATGATGACGAGGACGACGACGACGTGCTAGTTGTTGTTGTTGTAGTAGTTGTAGTTTTAGTTTCATTTGAAGTTGTTAATGAATTTGAAGATTGAATCGCAGTTATTATTGTACGATAATAATTAGGGGGATTTAATTTAGATGAAGTTGTTGTTATAGAATTATAACTAGTTGTTGTATTCGTAAATATTGATGGTGTATATTTTTGTATATTTAAATTTGATTGATTTCTTTCATAATAATTATTACAATTACAATAATTACTATATTTACAATTATCATCTAATATATTAATACATGTTTCTTGGCTACAACAACGACGTGATTCATTTAATACAGAATCATCAGATGAGCTTTTTACAAGTGCATAGGTACGTAAATGTGTTAATAAATTACCACCAAAATATCTAATATC